GCTGGTCCTCGCCAGCACAGTGATTCTTGTTTCCTAGCCCCACATAATGGCTCTGGGAGCCTTCAGAGCTCCTACACGGACTGGTGCCGACTGATGCTAGGAAGAACTCAGCGGTAACGTTTCTATCGATCCATTGCCTCCAACGCTAGGAAGGACACACACAGACACACAGACTGAGGGGAGGGATTTACGAAGTACGCCGTTGAGATGGGCACAGATGCCATGACATACACACCAAGTCTCATAAAGACTGGTTTAGGAATTCAAAAGTTGATAGAAGGAATACACAGACACACAGAAGGCGTGGAGATCGCATAAGCCTACTTTTTATTTTCCCGAAATAAGGAAAGTAGGCTAAAAAGAGACACCTGATTAAAAATGGCCGAGAAACACCGCTGTAGAGGGCTGAACGCTGGACAGAGTGGGCCGCACTGTTTCCGGATTGTACCAAGCCCGGACCCCTCGATTTCACTGGATTACCAAGCCGCGGGTTTGAACTCGTGTTGACCCTTGCGAAACCCGCTGGAGGAAAGTATGCACACTGAAAGTGAACTGTTGTTCCGCTCTGAATGCAATAAGCAGCTAACCTCACGGACAACATTATGCTAAAAGCGAGAACAAGACGTACGTTGCAAACGAAAGGCAAGTTCTTGTGTCATGATAATGGCCAACGATTTATTATTGCAATAAGAAATAAAAAGAAACTCCCTGTTTTGTGAACACAGCGAAATATTTCACGTCACATCAAATTAGTCCTTATGGGACCTGGGCACTTGTGTATTTAGAGACTACAATGTTTACATTTTAATGCCCTTTACAGACAAGCAGCACAAGGGGCATTCAGGAACGTTTTGAATCATTATAGGGCCTCAATTAACCTTTTAAAATAGTTCCTATAGATACAGCCCACATTAATATTAAGAAATACTGTGTATTGACTGCAAAGAGTACTAATGGGATTTATACGTTTCTTACAATTAATAGCTATATTCTCCTAATTAGTATTAACCAGCTGGTGGACGCCTTAGCGTAGTCGGTTGAGACACTATGCTACAAGCCAGAAGGTCGCGGGTTGGATTCCTGATGAGCTCATTGGATTTTTCAAGTAACCTAATCCTTCCAGCCGCACTATGGCCCTCTGGTCGACTCAGCTTCTAACACAAATGAGTACCAGGAATCTTCCTGGGGGTATACGGCGGCCGGCGCGTAAGGCTGACAACCTCACCGCCATCTGTAAGCTGATTGTTTAGAAAATGTGGGAACCTCGACCTCCCACAACTCATGGGCTTCCACGACCTCTTAAGAGGGATAGTTTTATTTTTTAACGGAAATTGGATTATGCGGTATGGAACACAAGAGACTGGAGAAATTACATACTGAGGGGCGTCATAATTTGTGCTCCTTGCCAAGGAGGGTTATGTGGGCAAAGGATGTAGCACGTATGGACAATAAGACGTGTACATGCAAAATTTATGTAGGAGAAACTGGAGGATAATTCGGTTGTAAATCCGAGTTTGGCTGACAGGATTAGGTGTAGCCTGTTCGTTGGCTTAAAATAGAACGGGGTTGGGTTTTGCGAATTTCGATGATGAACATTAGCGCAAGATTGTGAGTATATGCTTGAGTTTCTGTGTGTGCCATTTACACTTGAAGGTTTATCTTACAAGAAGCCGTTCCATTGTTATCCTTGGCTAATGCCAGCCTGGGATTTGAGTCATTACATTCCGTTGGAACTGCTGTCATACTAACGAATGTTGCAACGTCAAGGTGTTGATATGTTCTCACCGACATTGTAGGAGGGAAGTATTGTGTTTCGCGCTGAGACGAGGTTCACACTCTCAGCAAACTCACTGAAGTTATTGCTGTAAGTTACTGGAACGTTGTCACTGGGAGTGTCACTTAGCAGAAACCCCGGATTTTGTATCAAGAAAGGTGGAAAGATTGAAGGAAAGAGACCACTTAGGCGATCTAAGCATAGATGGGAAGATGATATTAAAATGGATCTGAAAGAAATAGGATGGGGATATGTGGACGGGATTCATCTGCCACAAGTTGGAGATCGGTGAACATAGTAATCAAAATTCGAGTTCCATCAAAGGCTAAGAATTTCTTGATTGGCTGACCAACTGTTAGCTTTTGAAGAAGGACGCTGTTCCATTAGCAAGTCACAGAGTTATGAACACCGAACTATATAACGTAAGACTGATGTGTGCTTCCTGCCAAATAGTTCAGGACAACCAAATGAAGGAGAATGAAGTGGGTGGGCCGTAGACCGTATCCGGAGAGAGGAGAAGTCCGCACCAAAATGTAGTCTGCAGATCTGAAGAAAGAGACCACTTGGTAGACCTGGTGTATGTGGGATAACATAACTGAAACAAATCTTCAGGAAAAGGTATGCACGGGTATGGACTAGATTCATCTGGCTCAGTTTTGCGTCCAATGGCGGGCTCTTGTGAACACGGTAATGAACATAAATTTGGGAATTTATTGAAAGCTGAGCGACTGTCAGCTTCTCATAAAGGACTCTGCTCCATGTAGATGTGAAATAAAGTTACGAAATATCTGAGGTTTTCACGGGGGTGAAGATTCATATTTTGGTCTTCCGGGTTGAGACGACGTGTAGTCTTCTATATAAGTACCAACGTTTCGAAGGAACATATAGTCTTCATCTTCAGGTATTAAAATGACGGCAGTATGTTCCTCTGAAACGTTGGTATCCACGTACCAGACTACACGGTGCCATAACCCAAAATACTAAACATCATCACCCAGCGTATTCATTATAATAATTTTCAAGGGAGGCGGTCTATGAGTTTTAATGTCTAAGCAGACGTGACTCTGTCATCAGAATCTCGTTTATGGTGACAGGTGGCCCTACTGCAAGCCGTGGATGGCAGTGCAGTGGAGAAGGGGCGATACTTCCGGAAATGGTTACCAGCTGAGCGTGTTATTTCCGGTATCAGGGAGGTTGAGGCTGACCGTCCCGGCCGACAGAGTGGAAAGTTGTTTGGTGACACTCGAATGACCTCTGCATCATTCTAACCGACGTGACTTATGAATGTCCAAGTGTACTAAAGTGAGCAAGCATCTTTCTGCTTCATTTAAATCTCTCTTCATTCTTCTATAGCCGCTTTCCTTTCCGTCCGTTCTTGAACTCCACGCCGCTTTCAGCAAAACTACGTATTATCAGGAACGTCGATACTGTGTTTTGGCGGTGGGGGCTTCACCGCGCCGGGGCCCTGAGTATCAGGGACACAATGTCTGCATTCGGGAAGTTCAAATTTCATTGTAAGTATTGTGACACATAGACCCGTTGCTTGGCAGCGGCCCCAAACAACAACAGAGGAATGGTGTTTTCTGCGCGGTCCTCTTAAGTAACATTTGGATACAGAAACAGAGGGGCAATGTTTTCTTTGTGGTCCGTGCCGACATGTTATAAGCAGGACAGTTGCTGCAATGAGTCAGTTGTGGGACAGTCGCCAGCTGATAAGAACATGAGAACGGAAAGAGAGGACATGTTGAGATCCGTCATCAGGCAACGGCTGGTGAAGACACAGCAGATTGACAAGACATCTTACGCACTGCAGTCAACTGTAGAGTGTGTGAATTAGCAATAACACTATAGTTACTTGTAGTTACGAACTATAAGAGTGCAGTAAATTCAATTACCGATCCAAACCTCTCTATAGTCATTCATACACGTGAGAATATTATTAATTTTGATGTAATTTTGTTTTTAACTTTCATAATTACCTCTTCTTTTTAGCACTACCCATATATATGTGTCCTATGAAAGTTAGCTTGACCGCCAACGGACTGCGCGGCGTTATGCGCCAGAAGATGGTACCGTGATCTGGATAAGGTTTAGCGGGAAGTATTCGTAGCCCAGTCGAGGAACTAACCCTTCATTAACATGGAGAAACTGAGGAAAATCATGAAATGCCTCAACGCAGGATCATATATGTCCCAGCCGCGATTGGAACCGAGTACCTCCAGATTACAAGCGTAGAACGTTACCACTAAGCCATCCCGCTCAGTAAAGATGGTTTTATTATTGTTCCGTCTCAGGTGGTATCAGTCTGCGGTTTAGAAACGGTTTGCTGATCACACTGGGTTAGGGCAGATCCGCGGATCCAGTGTCACGTGAGATATGCTGAGATGTTCGCACTTTCTAGTGAAAGCACGAGAAGGCCTCTGTGTTGCGACATGTTTGTCAGGCATCTGTTTCTCTTTCTGAATTTCATCTTTCGTATTTTGTTCCCCTCCAAACGTGCCATGGACTCCATTTATGAGCCAACTACTGAAGTTTAGCAAAATGTGTCGTGGTTGCAACGGCGTTGTCCTGCAGGGCAGCTTTGCTATTTAAATGCCCTTATCTGTAAAACGAAATACTGCCGAGTGTGTTGTGATAGAGCTCTAGAATTGAATTCGGGAGGTTCTCGGTTCGAATTTTGGTCGGGACACTGGCTATCATAGACCGAGATCTTTAGTGGTCTTTCTCAGTCCGTCTAGGCGTATGCTGAAATATTACCATTAGGCCACGACCGCTTCCTTCCAATTCACAGATCAGCCTAAATCTTAGTCTTCAGACACTGACAGGGCTGTTAAATAAACCGCACTGCCTCCTTCTTCAGGCCTAAAATGAATATAATATTTTCCCAGTTTCAGTCTCACAATATACCTATGTATGTATAATTCTAGGGTAACCATGTTTCAGCCACTATTTTTGGCCGCCATCAGGTCTTGTTCTTGAAGAACCGAAATATCGTGTTGGAACTGGTTATAACATTTGGTGATGGCCGAAAACAGTTGCCGTAACATGCGCTAATGTAGAAACTGCTCAATTATCGTAGAGTTTATGCATAGACTGAAACTGAACAAAATATTCTACATGCAATATGACGCTGAAACATAATGTTACTGAGGATGGCATCGTTACACCTCAATGCTGGCCATCATGAGAGCCACGAGCCTGACAAACAAACTCCTGTCTGTTGCAGCCGTGTGCCTTGTCGTGGGCGTCGTGACCTACCCTGCCGGGTGGGACTCTAGCGACGTGAAGCGAACTTGTGGCACCTCTGCGGGCCGCTACGAGCTGGGGGAGTGCGGGCTCAGATGGGCCTGTCTTCTGGCGGTCATCGGCTGCCTGGACGCCATCATCCTAGCGGCTCTCGCCTTCATCCTGGCAACCCGCCACGTCAGGTTGCAAGCCGAGCCTGGATACACCGCGAACGGGTCGCTCTACAAGGGTGAGTGTGACCCTCTGGGTCCTGGGGGGGGGAGGGGGGGAGGCTGCCACCCGCCTTCAGGACTCAGTCAGTGAGCAGTGTGCGACAATTATGTTAGCACTGAGCAAGCTCAACACGCATTACAGCTATTTCATGTACAGTGGACCCTCGAGGGACAATTTGGAATCCCTGCTATTGCACATACACTATTTATGCAGTAAATGCAATTCAAGGTATATTTCAGACTGTGGTGGAGCAGGTGACATGGTGGGGTTGCGGTTGATGGTAAGAGGGGTTCTCAATACATTTCTCTGCTTGAACAAAATAATCCCACTTTCAAAGAAACCAGAAGCATACAGACAGCCTATTCATACGAGACTGTGGACTACTATACCCTCTGCATCTGTCGGGATGCTACCTTGATGAAGGCCTACTACGCCTTCCTTCAACATCCCTTCCAATTCCTCATTCTTCACTCACCCTCCTGTTAGATACTGTATAATATGAGCTACTGAAACTGTCAGTGAGTAACCAAGTCCATGGAGCTTCTTGAGAAGCCAACAGTTGCCCAGTCACTCAGGGAATTTCCAGTACTTTTCGGACCTCGGAGGTTCAACACCGTGTTCACAAGAGCCTCTTAATGAACACTATCAAGCTAGATGAATTCAGTCCAGATCCCCATCCTAGTTTTATAACATCCATTTTAATATTATACTGCCAAAAATCATGCCTTGAATAGCTCAGTCTGTATAGCATTAAATGGTTGAAAAGACGTGCAAAAAGCAGTTGTGGATTCAACGCGACAGTTGCCTGGAGAGAAAGAAGAAAACCACTAAAGCCTTAGACAGAACAACCCATTCCTAGATCTAGATTTGAACTCGCGACCTCTGGAATAAGAAGTAGTGGAGCTGGCCACACGATCGTGACTACAGTAAACGACTGCAGTGTTATGCAAACTAACCTCCCGTACACTCTCCGGGAGTCGATTTGGAGGCCCGGATCTAGAAAGTACCCGCCCAGATGACGCAACGCTGTGTTACTCAATCCTTTCACTACTAACCTCTGGTGGGTGTGATTGCAGGTGAAGTGAACGGTGGTTTCGTTGGCGACGCGCAGTCAGTGGCTGGGTCCAGGAAGTCGCTGAACCTCCACCCTGTTTTGCTGATGCCTCAACCTCACCATCCGGGCGGCGAGGCTGACCGCTTCTCCGAATTCTCCAATCGGACCGGTCGCTCAAAGTCCTCAGCATACAGGGCCGAATATGCATCTAGCATACAGAACTTCCAGCTGTGAGAACTTCTGATAAGCTACAGGGTGTTCACTTTATAATGGAACCTTATCTAACGGAATTTTCGGCGACAGACTTAGCAGTGACTTGGCCAGGACATGCCCCTCCTAATTATGGGATGTGTCTGCGGTTCGTAGCTTAATTTACGAACAGTTTAAGTATGTTCTGGTTGGTATTCTTAGGTTAATTAATGTATATTTTCTTCCCTCGACCCGAATGTAGATAGGAATCAAGCAGAAGGGTATAGTAATATGACACATTTTGAATGAGTTTTTCTCACATGTCTGTCATATACTGTACCTTATTGGCATGTTGGTCTCTGCTGGATTCGGCTTCAAGAATACGTGACAGCTTTGAACTGAGGGAGCGAAAATGGAATAACCATAGTAAAGGACGCATGTTATCAACTACTGTGCCTTGTATTATATGCAGTCAGATTTCTTTATAATTTAACCATTTTGTACTTTTTCCTCCGCCATACCAAAGCATGGAACGGAGACAGAAAAACAAATTGGCATCCACGCTCTTGTCATGACTTTCCAGAAAAGAAAACTGTTATGCATTAGAGCATATTTAGGGGGCGTATCTTATAATCTTCTTGTTAGATAAATAGAACACAGTAATCTCGTTGTTGATACAACAGAGATGGGTAAAAAAATTTTAGAATTATTTTTATCTCCGTATTATTGGACCACTCTGTATGTTAAAAATGTAGTTTTGGGTAAGAAATATGCCCATGTACATATAACTCTCGTAATTTTCAAAAATTCAAGTTTAAATTCCACATTTTGTAACAAAACATATGGCATGATGACTAATGAAGCTTAGAGACAACTGTACTTTTACTTTATTTCACTGCAGCGCTAGCTTCTCTGTACGAGAGATGATACAAGGTTTTGAACTGAACATTTCATGAATTACATTGACTATTCCTGTCAGTTGACGTAATTTTTGACTAACATTGTGCCCATCTAGGCCATGGCACTGTGTAACCTGGTGTTCAGAGTAGAAGTGATGGAAGCAGTATGCCCTTTCGAAACACCACGACCACTTACTAGACTATACTATACTAGACTAGGCTAGATGGGTCATAATGCAGAAGCTGATTGTGTGGATCATTACCACCGCGAACACTTCAGATCACATGATCTGTATATGACACTCTTATTAGAAGATGCTTGAATTTCGGAATATTTTTTAAACTCTAAGTAAGTAAATAAGTAACTAACTACGTCTAGTGATCTGGTGATAATTTTAAGAATAATGGAATTATGTTTCCACTCTCCCATAAGTCTTTATGGCGTGGTACTTAATTAAGCACAGAGACAACTTTACCCTAACTTTACTTACATATTTACAGCGTTTAGTAAGGCTGCCACCCAGTCTGTGTACTGAGTGCCCAAAGTTCGGAAGATAAGTGAGTAACAAATGAGTGAAGTGCTTTGAAATTCCGAGCAGGGACTTTGATTCTGTGTGACGAGTTATTCTGGCAGTTGCTAGCAAATTTGAACTTCATTTTTGCAGTGACTGTTCCGAACGGTGAAATGTGTGTGGGATGTTGTGACAATAATACGCTGTCGTGTTTTGTAAATGTATATATAATACTGCCCAGAATGTACGTTATAACAATTTGATACAATAAAGTTACTAACATTTTATACTAGACTGTAGTCGCGATAAGAATCTTTGGAAGGTAACATAAAATACGTGTATGTTATTATTTTACTGCTGCTGCTACTAAGGGCTATGTTTAGAAGTAGCTTTATGCTCACACATTTCGTTCCTCCGAAACAGAGAATGTGAAAATGACCCTTTCGTTCTTCAACTTAGGCCTGCCCCATAAACTAAATAGTCTCCCTCCCAATGGCTATCTGTGAGTCCCCCTTACAGAAACTGGTCACTCTTCCGCTGGCTCTGACAGTTCTGCTTAGGCTTTTACTGGCCTATATCAGGCCTTGAATTTCGCTCGGTTTGCGGCCTGCTTCTTGGTATTTTTTTGCTTGGCGTACTTTTCGGCCCCGAAGTTGGAGGCTATATATTCCTCCGAAACGTCGCACTTTCTCCGACTACACCGCGTTACAACCCAAAATGCCATATTCTTCCTTTTGGTGGTGGTGGTGGTGGTGGGGGATTATTTCTCAAATATTAAGTACCGGAGACTAGGCCTCTGTAGTATCATATGATTCGATGATTAATGTGTGTGGAGTTTGAAAGGATCTGGAAGGAAACGGCTGTTGCATAACAGAAATACTATCCTGGAAATTGTCTGGAGGGACCGAGGGATATATTGAAAACCTCAGTCAATATATCCTGTGTCTCAACCGAGATTCGAACCGACCACTTGTCGGATGGAAGGCTGTCTAGAACATTACCGCTATACCAACTTGCCCGGTCAAACTAGTTGTATTGGTTCCTGAAGTACTAATAGAATTTCTTTTTAAAAAACGTGCCTTGAAACTGATAACATCCTGACTGACGAACAAACCTGTTCTGTTGATTGCTGAGAAAATAACTGTGAAGTAGGCCATGGCTTCTACTTCCACATTTCTCATAAGCAACGACTCCCTGTTTGTATAACTGCCCTGAGAGTATTGAAACCTACCTGAGCCAGGTGCGTCCACCTCCCGTCCTTACAACTGTTTCCGTAGCATCCATCCTAATGTTATAACATCCTTCTCGGTCTTCTAAATGGCCACGAGCCAAATTGAAAGTATATGGAAAAGGTCGTGGCCAATTTTAACACAGGTTCCGTGTTTCGTATATAGATGCTGCTCATGTGTACAAGACTGTGTCATTTTACGTCCTTACCTGTTACTGCAAGTCGAGTGTCACTATGGCCTTGCAGCAAGGTTAATGTTTATGGTTTCCTAGCTGTTTACTGCTTGAAGTATTTTTGCAAGATATGACATTATTAAATTGTCTTCCAGTCAACCAGATATTTAGATAGTTGAAGGATATTATCTTTTGTGACGTAACTACATGTAGTTTAGTAGAAGTTTGTTTATATTTCGGGGGAGCATAATGCCTTCATCTTCAGGTAGGAGATAGGCTCAGTAAACAAGAAGAAGCAAGAAGCAAAAAGTAAGGAATCTTCGTACCTGAAGATGGAAGCAGTACATTCTTCCGAAATCTCTGTTAACTTCTACCTGACTACACTACGTCACTCCCAGAAGACAGCATTCTTTATAGTCTCTGCTATGAGAACTGCAAATCCAGCCGCATGTTGTCCCTTACACGCTAATAGAGTGTTCCATCTCAGAATTAGTAGGAGACTGCATACAAGGGTTTCCTTCAGGCGAAGAACACGATTCCCTGGATGGTGGAGCAGCCCACAGAGTAATCTGTACAGGGGCGGCCCGTGTATAGGCACTGCGGAACCGCAGCGCCCCCAATTTCCACTTGATATTATCGATAACATTTATATAATGAGTCCTTTTTTCTTTAATTCTTTCTTTATACTTGTACAATACAATATATAATCCTTAAGCTTAATGTCAGTAGCCAAATCTTTGTATGGAACTGTGCGCTTCTGGAGCAGCACCCCCACTAATTTTAGCTACGAGCCGCCACTGAATCTGTACAAATTCTTTCTAGCAGAATCGTTAAAGAAACGTGATGAATGTCGCAGTTGGAATTATGCGAACTTGCAGGAATGAGCACACTAAAACCGCCGACTCAAACCATGCGCCATCAGTGCTTTGTTGATGTAGTAAGAAGAAATGACAGTCATTCAGGAAATAGAAATATTGAAATGTGTTTACAAGTAAATTACTGCAAAGAAGAAATTGGCGCAGTTACAATGATAGATTTAATAAATGTAGAGATTATCGTTGCTTAGAAAAATGCATTTAAATATGATAAAATTATCATTGTGAAGGTAGGACGTACTACTGTCCAGCTGGGTCCACTCGGCACGGCGGCCACTGATTGGCCTATTGTACATGCCCCGGGTGATTATGGGGATGGAGAATTTGGTGGAATGAAGATTGGCAGGGGAAACCGAAGTACTCGGAGAAAACCCGCCCCAGCTCCACGTTGTCCCCCACAAATCCCACTTGATCGAACCCGGGCCGCCTCGGTGGGAAACCAGCGACTAACCGCTTGAGCTATGGCGCGGCCTACCGCGGCCTGCTGTCCCCTACGAACGAAATGTTATGACAAATTGATACACGCACGCCTGTCGCCCGCTGATCGTCATTTCTTGGCAGTAGATGTTATGAGAAATTAGTATGCACTGCCTTTTCGCACAATGTTCGTCATATCTTCTTGCCTGTTGATTCTTGGTGGTGTGAGACATTCATTTATTGTGTGTGTGGAATATCCGTAGTGAAACTGTGGGAAAGAAAATTTGCGAGTGTTAAAAACATGTTTAACAAATGTCATTGTTAAATTCGTTGATTCATAATGATTGTGAATATTGTTCATTAACTTTAAGTGTGGATTAACCTCAACAACCTGCGTTCCTGTCACACCGGGTTCCAGAATTTGCTGTTGGTAAGTTCACATGACATTTTAGCGCCAAGTCGTTTGGCTGCCTTTTTATATAGAAATTTGTAGGACTATATGCCGATGATGTTTGTTAATTCAGCCGAATAACAAGTAAATACAATAAACAGGTTGTCGTAGAAGTCAACGGAGATTTTCCTGTGCATAAAATAAAAGAAAAATTGATTACATTCGTCACGAAATCAGGTTAGATTTACAGCTGTGAGAGCACCGGGGCAACCTAGTGTGGAGGTTCCGTAAAAATAAATGTAGTTTATGGCAATTATTTATTATTATTTTTTATAAGTTCTAAAAATAACCTACAAAGTAAATTTACGTGATTTTAGATAAGTAAGTTTCTGTTTTGTGGAGGCCCCGGGAGGACCGCCTTGCTCGCGCTGCTTTAAATCCTGCAGTTCACAAAATCTTAAAAAATTAGCTAGTAATGTATCTAAAAAGTATTTCAGATTGTACATTTAACTTACACCCAAGTTCCCTTCAGAAATCGAGGCAACGTTATCAGCAAGGGTAGAGGAGGTCTCATAATTAGGTATATGCTCCAGATTAGAGGAGAACCTTGAACCAACATGTGCCATGTAGGGAATTATTGCAATGCTGATTCCGAAATTCGTCCCTACACGTATCTCAGTGGGGAACGATGCTTATGACATCTTAAGCCACTGTAAATGGCCTCATTGAAAGAAAACCGATCAGAAAATGGTTGTGCCAGCCTTCTTCCGCATCCTGATCATCAGGTTGGAACATTGCCGGATTTGAGGTTCTCATGTCTGTGGCTATTAAGATTACTGTTGCTTAGGATGTGGTGCCGAATAATTTGGTATTTAGGTACCGACGTTTCGGGTGAACCTATTGTCCCTACATTGAGGTCTAAATTGTGGGCAACAGATTTCTTCGAAACGCGTGTACAAATCTATCAAGCAGTATTTCGTCATATTTCATAAACTTCAGGTTTTCAATAATTATTTTTAAGACATCGATACATGTAAAATTACGAAGTTAAAATTTTTTGTTTTACATTTGCAGACATGTCAGGTATTGTGACTAGACTGGCCAAAGTTTTTGAAACGAAAGAGTGAATTACGAAAGTCTTTTTCCTTCACTAAACTTGTGCAACCGATATGAGAAAATTTCGACTTATTCCCTTCTGCTGTGCCGTAAGTCATTATCAATGTGTCTAGCTTGATAATGAATTCTAATTTATGAAGGCCATGATTGTAACGTTTTATCTTGTAACCTGTTTCATGCAATAGACTATGGTTGCCAATGCGGCGGCTACCCAATCTTGTCATGTAATTCCATATTCAAAATTACTGGGTTTTTAGACTTTGTCCGTCGTCCGGTATTTTAGAAACTAGAAAAACAACATTTCGGGAACTGGATCTGTTTCCGTCCTCGGGTGTCTTCGTTTCCTCCTCCCTGAGGACGGAAACAGATCCAGTTTCCGAAACGTTGTGTTTTCTAGTTTCTAGAATACCGAACGATGGACAAAGTCAAAAAAAGCCCAGTATTTTGATGAATATTTTACACCATTATCAGAACCCGTTAGAATCTACGTATAATTCCATGACTCCTCAATAGATGGCGCAAGCTTATAAATAACGGTAGAACGCAGTGTAATGTGTGTGTGTGTGTGTGTGTGTAAATATAATATGATTACGAAAGCGGCCAGTGAAAATCAGGTACAAGTAGTTCCGAAATTAACAGGTAGATGACGGAAGGATACGTTACTGTAGGCCAAGATCAAAGACAGTCACCTAGTTAAATGTCTTTCCGAACAGATGGCGTAAGTGTGTGTATTGCCGAAGAATACAATTTCGTAAGTTAATCTATTTCTGCATTAGTAGATACTATATGGTTAGGTAACGTATTGCTCAGCACAAGAAAAATGGTAGATGACGGGAAGCCGATACATGCCAGTTGCTTCTGTATTTTCTGCTAGCAGTGGCAACGTATGAACGAGTTTCGTTTAGAGAAGCAAAGTTCAGCGGTGACTATTAACACTATGTCTTCCGGGACATGACGCAGTGAGTCTGATGGATATTTGTGAGGTACAGCCTGTTCAATCAGCTGTCTATTGAAGGGTCGATTGCCTCCATCTTCAGGGCATGGTAACACGTTCCTCCGAAACGTCTCTAAACATCTACCAGACTATACAGTCTGGTAGATGACAGTTTCCTCCAGGCTTCGTTATTCCCTCGTGTGCCAAGGTGACATCTGCCCTTCCTACCTTATCGCGTCATCGTCATGTGTCTTTTTCGGTCTTATAGATGGATGTTTACCCACCAAAACACATAGTATTCCGCCTCCATCATAACTGCGTGCTGAGCCCACTGTTGCTTCCTAAGCTTCGTTGCCCAAAAATACCGCACAACATGTGTACACCACGAAGTTGCGTAAGACTTGATCATTGGTATCGTCTAAAATGCTGACAAGCGTTTCGGAGTAACCTCTTCCGGGTGGAAGAGTCTCGAGATCAGTCGTGAATAATCTTCAGTCTTGGCTGTGAGACCATAAAACCTTAGAATTGCTTGTCTTTTAGATAAAAATATTTTCCCACCGACTTTCTTTTCAAAAACAATTGCAATTTATAGTATTCGTTCAAAATATGTACCTCCATTTCGCCTCCACACAAAACAACTGACTAAATAGTTCTTTCACTCCTCCGAAACGCCGGTTGACTTTCCTCTGACTATACGGCGTCATATCCCAGAAAAGAGAACGCTTGGTAACTGCTGTTGGTTGGACCGCGCCATAGCTCAAGCGGCTAGTCGCTGGCTTCCCACCGCGGCGGCCCGGGTTCGACCCCGGGTCTGGTCAAATGGGATTTGTGGTGGACAAAGTGGCGCTAGGGCGGATTTTCTCCGAGTACTTCGGTTTCCCCTGCCAATCTTCATTCCACCAAATTTTCCATCATCATAATTACCCGGAGCAGGCTACAATTGGGCAATCAGTGGCCGCCGTGCCGAGTGGACCCAGTTGGACTCCACTCCCCACTAAGCGAATTAAAACAAAGCTGCTGTTTGTTAGTGCAACGGAACGTTATGGAGTGGTTAGTGTTTGTGCTTCATATTCGGAAAGTGGCGGATTTAGATCTCGGCTCCTAGACAAGCTACCAGCCCCACCCCCTTCTTTCCACTTGGCTCTGCTGAACCAAAACCTATCATTGGTCCTGCACTTTCCAGTGCTGAAGTTGCCTCTCCTGTGTGCGTGCGTGTGCGCACCAAGACGTGCCTAGGGGCACTGTCAACACACAAATACTCGAAATTAAGAGAACCACAAATATGCGACCTTTTGATTTTTAATTTCTGTTTAACTTTTTAATGTTTTAAATTTTGAGCACAATAAAAATAATTAATTTTGTGCCTAGCGCATGGTCGGTGTTGCCGCAGTGAAACACTTTGCGTGCAACAACATACACACCTGACGATGGTCGTTGTGAGACCGAAGCATGTCGTGTAGTAATGAAATAAGAGCAAGAAATAGGAGTGAATAAGATCTAAAAGTTTGTGACGGTGATACATAAATACAGATACTGTGTTTTGTGTAAAGCACCGTCTTACTTTTAATTAAAACATGACGTTTCGGAGACTGGATTCTGTCTCCATCTTCAGGTAAAACCTACTCAGTTGCGCCCAATCGATATAGCCACTCCCAGTATTCTAGGCCCGGAGATAGGGACTATCTCTGTTAATTAGGTTCTAGCTGAAGATGGAGACAATCGAGTTTTCGAAACGTCGTGTTTTGAAATATAAACAAGACGGTATTTTAAGATAAATACAGGCCAATGGATAATGTCCAGAAACGTAATATTTGCACTAATGTACCATCGTTAGAAACTCTCAGATCTTATTCACTGAAGTCTCTGTTTGTTTACATATATCAAGTGATGAAATAGCATAGCGGGGTGCTAAAATACAACATGATAGATGTATAAAAATAAAACATCGTTATTATTATTATTATTATTATTATTATTATTATTATATGTAGCTTAACATTGGGAAAGGGTGTCTCTCACGGTGGGATTCCTGTCACCAAGAAGGAATGTCCGCGTAGGAGAAATCCTACCTAGAAAAGGGTTGTAAATTACTGGACCAATTTATATACAAAGCATCGAATTACCTGACGCACGCAAAATTATGAGGATTCCTTTACCGAGCCTCATTTATCTGAATGCCCACGGCGACCTGAACTCACTTGGAAGCTCCCAGATATAAACATCGGTTTCGGCCCTGTCAGGAGGGGTCTTAATCCTAGGGTTTGGACGGCAGGAACGTGTCCTTTGCTACGGTGACAGAACCTTGCTTGAGGGTTCTGTAAACAGTGGAGCCTCTTCACTGTCAACCGGCAAAAATAAGAAAGGACACAAGACACAAACGTGACAGGACGACGACAGCTTCTGCAATGTAGTAGAAAAGACAATCTACTGTCAATAGAGAGGAAGGTGGATGATAAAGTTAATTAATTAAGCACTACACAATGTAGATGAACAGATAATTGAAGGTATAGCGTCAAGCATTCTTAATTCCGGCACTAGAGGGAGGTAAGTGGTCAGCATCGCCCTTCGGTCACTTTACACCCGAGAAAGACCCTCCGGTACCTATCGGAGAGGACGATGGGTGGGCTCCAATAGCCGATCTGGACCTTACGAAAGAAAGAAATTTCACTTGCTCATGCCAAGAATCTAACACTTATTCCACGGTAAATGCATGCAAATGAGTGAATATTCAGTTAAATTTAAATTTATGAAGCACCAAGTCTTCATAAACGAATAACGAAATAAAATTTTAATTGAAGAAATAAGTTTTGCCTGCTGTTCTGATGAACTGAACTCTTGGACAGTCACCTGTTTCCAAAAATATAGTCCGTTACATGTAGAAGACTACAAAAAGTGCCAACAAAAAATCTCCGCGTCCTCATTTTGCAATTAAACACGTTAATAAGCCCGACAGACACTTGTAATTTCGTGCTCAGACCTATATTTTTGT